CGTTTAAATCACCTATATGATGAAAACAGATTTAGATGCCATGATTGAGCTCTTATTATTGGAATTATTTTATGTTAAAATGAGTTAGCATAAAAGTAAACTATCGGTCCAAGGATAGAGGCATCAGACAAAATTATTATTTTTTTTTGATTTGAAGAAGCTCTTCAATATCTACTAGCACTTACTGTCGTGTTAATGATCAGTGTGTGCTGTGATCAGGACTTTGCTGCTTCAGATATTATTGTCTTTTGCTATAAGGTCTGAGAATGCATAGTGTTTTTTTATTTATTACCTTCACTTCCTAGGGTCATTAGCGTTTCATCTTAATGTTTTATTCTGTGATAAAACTCTATTCCTTTTAAATATTTGAACAGTTTTTCTATTTCATTTTCCTTATCCTGTATGATTCCATTGTCGTTCCCATTTGTAGGTTTTACCTTTGAGCAGTAATTAGCTTCTACACTCTAAAAGTATAAGCTCCGCAGTTGTGGTTCGGCAATTGGCAATCCTCGCAGGAGGTATCCATGAGAAAACTAGCAATGTCCGATTCGTAGGCGACATAGTATCACTTCTTCTCGTCATGATTATCTGTTTAAAGTCTTCCATTTTATAATTTTTTTCTTACCATACAATTTGGATAGTGTTTTTATTTTACAGAAAATGTAAAATAAACACTAAGCACGCGAATTTTATTGATAATACTCAACCAAAAAGCCTTTTCTTTTTCTCTTTAAAAATCCATACGGCTAGCTTTTTAACATCGTCCATATGTTATTGAAAATAGGAAATCAGTCCCTCCAGAAATGACGTAGGTGAAACACCTATAGACCATGGCAATTTAATGTTCACTGAACATATTATTTGCGACATTAATGATGAATATATAACGGAGGACTCATCAAGACTTGAAAATGGCCCTTAGTATGGTCGAAACGTCGAATTAAATAGCGTATCAATAAAATGTTTGGTGAAAATTGGCCTAATTTTTGTAAAAAAGAAAAGAAAATAGGAAACTCTCTACTCATGCACAGAGCAACAACTGGAATTTGGTCATTAAAAAATCCAGGATAACCAGATGGTCTGAAGAGAAAATCGCATGCGGCTTACTGAAGTCTGTCTCTTGTGCGACGTACGGATACTTTAAATTATTAGAAACTTCTGTCAGCCCCTGCCTTAAAAAAAGAAAACATCCAGTCTTCTCTATTATTGGTGTCACCCTCAACAGCCGAAGGGTTATATCCAATTCCTCAAGGGCCCTGAACACCCTGTCTAAACTTGCCCTAAGTCTATGAATATATGATACGGAGTGACATTATATTCAACTCACTTTTCCAGCACCTGTCTCATTGTGATGTGTTCGGTGGATGATGTCCTTGTTTCAAAACCGCATTAATATCCCATCTCTTTTCAGTCCATTTCATCAATACTTTATTAGTTTCAGTCTATACCATATGTAGACTGAATTCTCATATACTGAGTATTGTGAAACGACTTCCTTTGTAGTTGGCTCAATTCACTCGACTTATTATGGTCATTATGATGTAGAGTTTCAAAGTAATAATGTATTATTGTTTGAATAGTATTTTATTTAAGAGTGAGTATAACATAAAGCTTATGGCATAAACAGTCACATAACCTCTCTTGGAGGCAGATTTTTGAAAATGTGATTAATTCTCCTCGCTGATTTAGCCCGAGCCATATATCTATCCTTTCATGATAAACTCCAGTCTCATCCAAATCCCCTTGTTTCCAACCTTGCTTCTTCCTCGATCCCTAATAATCCTCCTAGGCTACTGAAAAGGAGATGACCTCGTGATCTTCTTACTTAGAATTATTTAGGGAGTGCTACCTTCTGCGTAGTATCTCTTCAAGCCTGTACATGTCATTATTTATAATTTGTGCATATTTACTAGTTGTATTTGTATACAGTTATAAATTTCATTAAATAAACAAAAAAAAAAAAAAAAAAAAAAAACCGCAGCCCTCACTCTGACTAAAACTTTAAATTTCATGTAAATCGAGTATATTTCAGTTTTTCAATCAGTGTTTGAAATATTGTCATTCATGAAAGTAAGGCAGTCCTAACACATCGAAATCGCTTCTAGACATTTATTAGAATCAATTCTTTGGAAGAGGAAGAAGGTCGAATAGTAGGCTAAGGATTGGGTGAGAAGATAACGTCAAAGTACTTGAACATTTAGAACCCAACTCATAAACAATTGGTGGAAATGGAATATAATCTGATTCGCAGCTTTCTGGGCTTTTCAATTCTGAGCGATATTATTTATATTTATATTGTTGGTTTGCTTAATTTATTTTCCCTATAAAATAATTGTTTCTTAAATTTTTCTAAAAATAAATAAATATATATATATATATAATAAAATAGTGAAAACAGGAATTCATCTTTTGGAATTGTTTGAAGTAGATTGGGGCGTGAAACAGGATTATTTGCTTTAATCAATTCTTTTTAATTTAGCTGTATGGTTATTGGAGAAGTTGAAATACTGCAAAAAGCTTTAATATGGACAGAACTCTTTTGCCGAGATAATTGGGCTAACTTGGGTGTAAATGTAAGCTCTAAATTGACATTGGGGAATTCTAATCAAGATCACTTAGGAATCGTTGGAATGGTTAAAATTTGTAACTGAAAAAAAAACTACTTTCACGTATTTTTATATCTTATTAAAATTATTAAATTTTACGTACAGAATTTCTTGTTTCAGTAAATTGTTTCTTAGAAGCGGACGTTTCATTCTCAAATTATGATGAATCAATTTCTCAGCCAGTGTTAGAAAAATGAATAGAGAAAAATTTTCAATCATACTTCACGCTAGTAATATTTTGGATAGGAATCAATTATTTAATTAATTAACGTTACAAAATTTATAAAATGGTTAAATTTTGAATAAAAATGAATTAATAATACCATATGAATATAGGATGGGCAATAAGATACGCAATAAAAACATCTTAAATTGGTTTAACTAACATTAACGGTATGATAGATTTGTGTGACATAAAGTTTAATAAACAATAGTTTAATAAATAATTACAACCTTAATGTTCCTTATATTTCAGATTTGGCCCGATCCATATAGTTTTCATTCCACGATAAACTTCAGAACCATCCCAACCCCCTCGTTTCTTATCTTGCTTCTTCTTTAATTCCTGATAACTGTTCGAGGCGTCTGAAAAGAAGATGGCCTCGGGATCTTCTAATATAGAACTTTAATTTGAGTTCTACCAATGGGTAGTTTCTCTTCATATTTTACATGTCATGTTACCAATGTCACATTTACCTGTTGTATTTTTAATGTAATACAGTTGTAAATTTCAATAAAATTAAAAAAAAAAGTCTTTCTTCTTTAATTCCTGATAACTCTTCGAGGCGTCTGAAAAGAAGATAGCCCCGTGATCTTCTAATGTAGACATATTATTAGTGCTACCAGTGGAGAGTTCCTGAGAAAGTGTTTTAATGTCATCATACTCATTATTCACATTCACTAGATGTTTTTTTATTTTTTAATACAGTTATAAATATCATGAACGAAGTTTTAAAAAAACAATAATAATGAGAAAAATAATTATAATAATGTCTGCAACGTTCACAATTGTATGAAACGATTAGTTAGCAGCTTTTGAAAATAGGCAATAAATACTCGAAATGTCAAGCTATCATAGAATGGTAATAAATAAATATGAAGACGTCATTAATCTTACCTACGAAAATGTGGAATAATGACTAGTGGGTCTTCATTAAGGATAAAACTTTTATATAAATAAAAAGTTTATGAAGTAATAACAGAATGCTTATAATTTTTTATTGTTGAAAGTTATATTGCAATAAAAAATAGGGAAAGGAAAATATTAAAGCAAAAGGATGCCCTTATTTATCCTTGGAATAAATTAATATTTATGAGGTCCGCATTAAGGGAGGAAAGAATTTTCAAAAGGATTGAAATGGAATGAAGAGCGGTAAATATTTATCTGGCTCTCGAAATTAGTAGCTAGGTTTTATAAATATTAAATCTCCCCTCTTCAACGGCTGCTACAGGTCGATAGGGTCGGATTGTTTAAAACTTCATTATTTTATTTTTAATCTATAAAAAATACTTGCAAATAATAAAATATAGATCGTGGCTAACCATGATCACACCTCTAAACGCCTAAAACACGCCTAAAAAACCTCTAAAGGTGATGTTGGAAGTTCATCCCACATAAATATAGTTCAGACCTCTTTTTATCAAATTATTAACGCACACCTAAAACTTCGTGAATGTTGCTTCATCTCATCGTAACCTACATTTTTTTTCATCAACGAAAATTTTCAGAAACTGGGCGTTTTCTCATTTAATTAATTAATTAAATTATTTACTGAAAACTCACGAATACTCATTTTCTTTTCAGTTGAATCGTAAGATTTGCTCACAAACAATATGGTGACCTACAATAGTTTTGGGGCCGTTTGGTCAATATTACCTTATTATTTTGACATATTGGGTGTAGAGATCACGCCAAACGTCACAATTTACAAATATTTTTGTATGCCACATTTTTTGTCATCAAAATACATAATAATTTAAGTGCCAAGCCACTGGATGTTCATGAATTTTTATTATCTGATTGTAGACAAGGTTGTCTTATCTCCAGATTGAAAGCGCCCCAATTCTGGGAGTGCCCGTAAATAAAAAAAGTTATAGGTTACGATGAGATGAAGCAATTCGCCAATTTTTTTCATGATCATAATAATTTGATAAAAAAAATTGTTCTGTACCACCGACTATTGTATTAATATATCGTTGTCGGTTTGTTACATTTTATTATATAGGTAAATCATCTTTTGTTCATTTGATTAAGGGGTAATAATTCCTTTTTTTTTGTGGAAATCTTCTCCATTTTTAAGCAATTTTAATATTTTATAACTGATCCATTAAAACGAATTACTGCTGCCATGGATGGGAAGGCTATAGATTGCCAGACCACACCCAGCCCAAAAGATGAGGAAGTTGCCATTTCTTCAGACGAGGAGAGCTCCCCGTCGCCATTCTCATTACTACCCCGTGGGTGGTGCCCTCAAATGGCCACTATCATCCCGCTTTCATCAGAAGCCTATGATTACCACCCCTGTCCATAATGGGAGAGTTTTGTTCGTCTTGGCTTGCTTTGAGGATGTAACATTTATTATTTTACTTGTTATTATTTTTTAGATTCTCCCTAGATAACTAAATAATATCTGGTAGTAGTGGCCCGTTCTAGTTTATTCCCTGCCGGAGTCGAAAGTACCGGGAGGACCAGAGGGCAGTTTAGGGCCATTCGTTGGGCTAAAACCATTGATCCGTGTTGGAGGATTTCTGCTTGGCTGAGATACCGCCAATGGCTCTGACTCACCAACTATTACAAGGGTCGTCGGGACCAGCAAGTGTGATCTATTTCCTTTACGACCGAGGTGTACGATTTCATTGCAAACTATAAACTTGTATGCTTTTACAATCCAGACCCACTCCAACTTGCTCTTCTGCAATAACGATGTTATGCTTCCATCTATACCTTAATGGTAAATAAATAATAAAAATATAATAGTAGAAGGAAACGGACCGTTAAAAATAAATGAATACATTTAATCGATTAGACGTTTGGGAAAAATGTATTATAATTAATTGTTTTAAATGAACATATTGTATCGTCTACAATTTTTAATTACTCCTATTTATAGTCAAAAAAGCGTATTATTAGTTTTCAATATAAACTTTCAGGACTATCACCAAGGCTCCCTGGTATGTCAGTAACATTACTTTACATAATGACCTACAGATGCCAACAGTTCATGACTAAATACGATCATACTACAAAAGATTTCACAATAGCTTACACGGACATACCAAATCACTTCAACGCATGGCCACAACCAACATGCCCCCCGATGACACCCGTAGGAGGCTCAAAAGAAGCTGAATGAGTGATCTCCTCCACTATCTATAAACATAAAATCAAATATATAAATTAGGAAATCAAAAAATATAAACATAAAATTAGGAAGGGACACCGCAGGACACTCCTTTCCCTCACGCCTACCAACGTCTTAATCTACACTCTTCCAGACAGCACACATTCCCATCAGAGAGTTTTAAAAAAATAAAAGAGTTGCGTTATGCACTTCTACACCAGATTTTTCTCGTTGGTACATATTTGTTTTTGTGGGTAATTTGAGCTAAATAGTTTAAATTAATTTCATTCAATATATTTATCTTACAATTAAGTGTTTAAGGAAAAGGGGGTAACAACAATGCAGGCAAATGTGATCTAGAAAAATGAATAAATATAAATTAAAGTATCAGTAAAATCATCATTTACATATATTAAAAATTAGTATTATTATTATTAATATATTTTTAATTTTTTTCACAAGTTAATAGTTTCTCATATTGTTATCTGGTCTTTTCTTAGCCTCAATGAAGGTATGAAATTTGGGCCGAACGCCGGCAAATATAAAAATAAATATAATTAAATTTTAATTTTTTTTACTGAACACCTCATATTTTCATTGGTTCATATTGGTTTATGTAAGTGATCTAATCTAAGTACTTAAGCAATTGGGATTGCTTAAGTACTCAGATTATTAGATTATTAGATATTATTATTATTATTTTATATGAGTAGTTTTTTACTTTTATTCCAGAATAATTATCGTTATAAGACATTCCCAAAAATAAAAAATCTGTATTCACTACTGTGAACAACACGTAAAATGAATGAGTATGATCATTTAAAATGGAAACGGAATTTAGTTTTTTCTTATTGTAATGACTTATATTTTTGTAGCTGTTACTAGTAAAAGGTCTTTGAGGATATTAAGGGAATGTACTCTATTTTTGGATAGCGAAGGGGTTTCTTCAGCAAGTTAGCACCTTTCTCATTCACAGTTGCTACTGAACGTTGTTTGACGAACGTTTTTACGAAACCGTGAGTAACCCCGTACAAATACTATTGAGTCACATTCTTCTGTTTTGTCATGGTAATGTTCTTAGTATTTCTTCTTATATAAATCAATTATTGTGAAGTTTAATTTATTCTATGTCTTCTTGAGATTAATTTATTTTAAAGGTTTAAAAGCTGTCTTAACTTGAATTTTATTTAAATGTACAATAGTCAATGCTCCATGATTTCCTGTAGTATACGTTTAATTTAAACTTTAATTCAAATTTTTACATTTTCTTTTTTTGAACTTGCAATTGTGATTTCTGTATCATGCTGTTTAAAGTTATTTTATTTTAAAATAATTTCGTGTTAAATTATATTTAAAAATCTTTCAATATTATCAACTTCTATCTCCAACTACATAGGATTAGGTATATGTGTTAGAAATGTAAAAAGTTGCTTGGTAAATATTTTTTTAGACATTTAGATAATTGAACTCCTATCAACTATGTGACGATAAATAAAATAATTATTGGTATAATTATGCGTGATTTATTTATTTCATTTGTTATTGAAGATGGAAGCCTAATTTTTTTCTGGCTTCTTCCTCAAATATTACAATTTTAACTAAATTTTATTAATAACAAATTTAGCTCTCTCATAATATAAGATTTTTTTTTCTTCCCTACCTTGCCTTTTAGGCTATGCGAGGTTTTCCCGGGCCTGGGGAGTGAGAGCGGGGAATTTAAAATACCCTCCGGCACCGGGAAGCGAACTCGTACTTTTTAATCTTTGAATTACTTTGGTTATCTGGTTGCCGGGCAACTCGCGGTGCTGTGCCACCCCGCTCCCTCATAATCAAATTTTATGATTATAGTGATTTTGATTTGGTGATTACGCGATTCGTAATAGGTTCAGGTTCAGGTTCAGGTTCAAGTTATCATGTCACATTTATGCTCTATTTATTTTTTATTGAATAATGATATGATCCGCGACTTTTGGAGGGCATACTTAATAAGTATTAAGGCTAAAACTGTTCGTTCATACAATATATACAGAAAAATAAAAATAAGTGAAAATATTAAAAACAAAAAATAATAGTAATAAAATAAATAATAATAGTAATAAAATAAATACTTATAAAAAAATGAATAATAAGAAAAACAGTAAATAAATAAGAAAATAATTAAAATTTAAATAATTCTTCTTAAACACATTCATGCCTGCTATATTTAAAGTGCTATAAAATCATGTATAAAATTAGCATAAAAGTGATTGCGATTTTATTCATCTCTGATGAAAACAGTCAAATTAAGATCATATCGTCTTATTGTAAAGATTATGACAGGTGTGGATTGAAATATGAAGAGAGAAAAAAATTTTTTTTTTTTATACCCGTGTGCTAATCAGTTTTAAAAATATTTTTTTAAATAAAATAATTTACGATAAAAATATTGACACTATTATAAAAATATTATTACCACGTTTACTGAATATTTTTATTTGAACTGAAGTGTAGTTTTGAAAATGAAACTATATTTGTTTGAATAGGGACTTAATTTAAAAATAAAATTGATTAAAATGAATCTCCATTGGAGTTGAAAATGCGCTTACATACAGTTTTATTATTTTACTATGCTTTTCCCCCACAATTATGCTTGCATTTTGTTGCGTTATTACTTCTTACAACTTGAATGTTGTCTGTTCATTTATAAAATGGGCGTTCTCCTGAGTTCTATTTAAAAATATAGAAGGATACGGTGAGTGGTCTATTGTGCAGCGGTAAGTGAACGGTGATGCGCGCTGCTCCAATTACAGAGAATGCTTCGCACAGCTCATTCTTCAGGCTGACAGCTCTATTCTTGTTTCTAAAGCTCTTCTGCGGTTTCGTTTAATATACACGTGTTCTTTAAATAATGTTATTTGACAACTTTTATGTTTTACAAGTCCATCAAACCAGCCAACAATTGAAGCATGTTTTTATTAAATAGATATACAAATCAATTTTATGAACGATTTCTTTCTCCTTCCATACCGTGTGACAAGTGACTTAAATGTACGAACGGCATTCTATAGTTCAATGGAACCAATTGACAAAATGTGCAATAATTTTGATATGTATAAGAGGCTGCTTACTATTTTTATCAGAAAACTACCATATTTTGGTTCGGGTCTCATCAATGTAAAATCGGATTCGGAAAAAAAAAAATGTATAAGAAAAACTAAAACTGTATCACTAAAACCCATGAAGGCTTTTGGTTTCAATATTTGGTTTGAGAATACAACACCAATGGCTGTGCAGAGAGGTAATTTGGCCAGAGTCACTCACAATTATCAGTTTTCATCTCTTAATTAATTATTTAACTATGAGTACCCATTTTATAAAGGCTGGGTGAGCCCCAGGTGGGTCTCCCGATCTCGGGGTCAATCCACCGCTAATAAAAAATTACTTGACTTCAATCGGGTTCAAACTCGTGACCATGAGCTTTGCAACCCAGTGCCTAATTCACTAAGCTACTCTAAGATGAAACATTACGTGACTTTCAGAAAAAAAGAAGAATTTTTGATCGATCTATCTCATTAATATTGTAGCGATATTTTAGGTTGGATAAAATTATGCTTGGAACAAAAAATTCAGATTTTCCAGGACACTTAACATTTTACAATAAAAAAAAAAATAAATAAAAAAATAATATTACTAAAACTAAATGTATATAAACAAAAACAAAATCTAAAGTAAAATAACTTAAATACAATGATACTTTTATACATACTATGTTTACAAAATTCATAGACAACTTAATGAAGGTTTCAATTTTGTTTTTAACCATTGAAACTGTAGGAAAATTTTATATTCCCTCCTTCTACCCTTCCCAATATAAATTGTAGTAGGATTCTTTTACTACAGAAAAGTTTTTAAACTCATTGCTGAACTTATTGATGGAATGCAGCGTGTCTCTTTATTCATCGATTTAATCACTGATTCCTTAGCGGTTTCGTAGGCTGTTAGAGGACTTCTGGATGTAACCTCAGTACTGTTATTTCTCAGTTTACTTAATAGTTTATATTCAATTTACATTGTACCTATACCTATGCCTGTTTTGGAATTCAACAATTCAGTAAGTATTATTCTTTTTTTTCTTTTTTCTGGGAAGTTGTATGTTATTCTTTGTTTTTGGCAACTACTGACAACAACAACAACAATTGATTTAATTGCTGTATTTCTAAATTACATGTTTACATGTTAACGTTTCGGGATATTTATTCCCATCTTTAGAACTACAATCCCAATGTTGTTTTGTTGATTCGTTGCTTAAATCTAATGTGCTCTATTGTCAGGTTCTAAATTAATGTTACAATAAATTACAGTACATAATATCGAGAGCATCATCATGCTTTTAGACCAATTATTGGGTGTCTGCCATGGTGAATACAATTCATTCACCATTGTAATCTATCTCATTAATATTGTAGCGATACTTTAGGTTGGATAAAATTATGCTTGGAACAAAAAATTCAGATTTTCCAGGACACTTAACATTATCTTTTATTGATTGTTAACATTGAATCATATATGGAATGGTGGTTGGTTACCGTTTGTTACATATTGTCCATGAAGATGAAATTTTAAGGAATTTTGTCAAATATTTGTTTTAAGTAACTACAATAAATATTAATAAATTAATGTGGACTTAATATATTTATGAATTTTTATAAATATTTGTTGAAAGTCTGTTCATACCAGTTCTTATCTGATGTTTTGCCGTGAACATGTGATGAATAAATAATAATAAGATATAAAAAATAAGTAAAAGGTAAAAATAAATCCGAAACTCCGAAACGAAAGGAATATCAGTATAAATCATTTTTTATTTAATTTCGGCTTAAAAAAAAGTGGTGTGCAAATTATTATTAACTTAGAATACTAAGTTATTAATAAAAATTGTTCAAAATAAATCTTGCATAACCAAGCCGTTCAAACAAGAGATTTTTGTATAGCACTAATAAAATAGATACTTAAATTTTGGATTATTTTATCTTACGTTTCTATTATTATTTAATTTTTTTTTTGTTTAGTTGAGAAACAAGAGGGAGGGATTCTATAATTTTAATTTCAGTGATTCTGTAGTCTTCAAAAATAATGTAACTGAAGAGAAGAATGGTTGGGGTGTTCAGTCAAATTGAAATGGTAAAAACTAAATTATTTTATTTTATTATAAATAAAATTATTTATTTATTTTTTACCAATTTGACTGAAAACCCGAACAATCCTTCTCTTCAAATATTCACTACAGTCAACCATAAATCTACAATTAACAATAAAAAATAATGTATATTTTGACAAGAAAATCTTTTAACTATTATTTTTAAAAGAATCGGTTGAAGAGGTTATTTAATTTTGTTTTAAAAGTTATATAATTTTATCACCGTAGCTAATTTATAAAGATGTATTTAAAGCACTAAAATAGAGTGCAATTTCCTTCTATAAAATGTTTAAAGTTCAAATCCTATTAAACTTCCAAGTGTATTAAGGCCAACTTGAATCGTCTATTGCAACCGTACGGCGTTGTATTGTTTCAATTTCCTTCTCCATTTAAAACGAAATATCTTTTTTTCTAGCGTTTTAAAGACGATTTCCCTTGATAGATTTTATTGATAATTTGTATCTAAGCCTTTTATAAATAGAAACTGAATGCTGTTTTATTTTTATATCATATTTCATAAGAAGTTTTATTTTATCTCTTTTATTGTTAATTTATTTTTTGTGATAAACTTTTTCCTTTTCCTTCAGCTTTATAGTGGAAACTGAGTAGCTATTTGAATATAAAACCAAGGAGAATCGAGTAAAAATCGTCACAAAGTTATATTTCGCTGACAACTGTATGCTGTTTATTTTTCTTATTTGCATATCACGGTATATTATCTGTATGTTATTGAATTTATTTGTATCTTGTAGTTCAATTTTTTTTTCTCAAACAGTTATTATTATTAGATATTTCCGATATTCTGTTATTATATTAAAAATAAAACTCCACTATTTGAATTTTATTTAACACGGTTTAAAACATAAAGAGCTAAGAAATCGTTATTTATTACTTTTTAAAGATCCCGTTATAAATTATTTTTTATTACATTCAACCAACTTAATCTCTGCCCCTTAAAGCTTCAGTCATTAAAACTTAAAAAAGGCTCCATTCCAATTTTGCTGCTTGTTAGCAGTTTCTGTTAAGAAAAGTACTGCTTAGATCATTACTACTTTTAAAGGATAGTTAAAAGCCCTCATTTTTTTTTATAATCCCAGTATTTATCATTATTTTAATTATTTTTTTTTTTAATATTATTAAAAATTACGGTTCTTGAAGATTAATTTTGATATCTGCTGTTCCATAACTTGCTCGCTTCGTTTCCTGCTCTAGTTGTTCCTTATACGAGGTTGAAAAGCAACATTCTTTGATTTCTCTGCTACGAGTTTCAAGACTTTCCCTGCTGCTGGGTATGTCTTCGTGTTTATGGTGGATTGTATCGTCATATCCGTTTCTTACTCGTTGGAAGATGTCCTGTAATTTAAAATATTATGTTTCGTAATTAGAAAAATTACTTGCGCTTCTCTTCCATTTCCAAACTCAAATTTATATTATTTGGATTTTCAGCGATTTCACTTAAAAACGATTTTAAGATCTTTATCATTGCTTAAAGATTTTTAGTCAAACATGGTTCGCTTGTTTATTCAATCAATACGATTTTCGAAGATCTCCTGTAAAAAATATGGAATTTTGAAATATCTTATATATTACTTCTCAAATAAATATATCTTTTCCGGTTATCAGGAGTCATGGATTTTGACGAATGGGGTATCAATAGAAAGGGAATATATATATAATGTTCTAAGCAATATGATGGTGCCGCCTCAACGAATCGAGACGTTAAAAAATAAATAATAATTTGCTAATAACTCGAAAAGTGTGCAATTTTCCGTTATGTATTATTATTCGAAAGCTTACTAAATTCTCTTCAAAACGTAAAAAAATATCATTGAAAACGGACCATTTGGTGCAGAGTTATAGCGTTATGAACTTTTAGTATTTGTTGTATTGAAGTATCTGTTGCATATGGGAATTTAAATTTTGGGAATTGGCCTTTTTTTTTCGGGGTACAGTATATAATGCATCAATTAGTAATTTTTTTTTTAATTTTAAAACATTTTATTAAAAACTCGTTTATTAAAACCCTTGCGGTTGAGCATGACCTCGGTAAAAACATCTCGCAGGACTGTTTGCACAAATCTTGAGTTTCGTCATCAAGGAATTCTTTTATGAAACTGAATGGAAAAGGACTTCTTCCACAACCAATTTGATTGCTGAGACGCTTCTATAAAACAATAACTAGTGTTGCCCAAAATCAGTCTTGGTCTTGCACTTTGCAAAGCCAAGACCAAAGCCACCTAACTGTTGCAAGACCAAGACCAGGACTGGTAAAAAAAAAAATGATTTTTTAAATAAAAATTAAGGCAAAATAGATACTAATACTTCAATCTTAGTTACTATATGTTAATAATTGGTATAACCAATATACCTTTGCATTTAACTCCTCTTATTTTTCAATCGGGCTTAGTTAGGTTTCTCCTACCTAAAATAATACAGTAATACAAGACTCATCTCGTATTACTCGTATGACTACGTATTACTCGTATGACTCGTCAAATATTCTTTTTTGACGGAGGAACGCACAAGTGGAGTCAAGAACGACTGTGACATTTTATATGTTTTATTTGTTCGGGTTTTGTCTATTATTTATTCCTACAGTTTCTTACCTTGGCGATGATTTATCATTTCATTTTGTTGCGGGGTTGAGGAACTAGTGAATTAATTCTATCCAAACCAAGTTCTAACCATATCGCTTACTCTTATTAAGATTGTTCTTTTAAAATTCAGCTGAAGAGGATCTCCCCGCTTGTAGAACTGTCGTAACTCTGTTAGCATTCGCCGGAGATCGTGCTTCTGTTGAAGAAATTATGAACGAGGGCCTGTTGCTGTCGGGAGTAAGAGTTCTGTTTGAGTTGCCAACCGAGGCCATCTGTATGATAATTCCCGTCCCGTTTGTCGGCTCCCGTGCCTCGCTACTTTCGGAGATGGAATGAGTTCATTAATTACAGCGGGAGCCGAATAAACCACAGAGCCTAACCCGGTTAGCTCAAAGACCGATCCACAGCTGATGTAGACATCGTGGGCTGCATGAATGGCCCGGTGCCCAGACCTTTATGGCCCTCGTAGATCCAGTTGTGGATGTCCCTGTCAGGTAGTAAGCCCAAGCATGTCCTGCCATGTTTAGGGCTCTTGTCATATTGTGGGCCTTTATATCACCGAGGATACAACACAGCTTCTAAAGGACTATGATGGAGTATGCTATCTATCCACTTCTCCACTCTCCTAAAAAATAAGCAAACTGGTTCGTTAATATTCAAGTTATTTCTAATGTCCACTTATTAATGACATACAACAAGATTTGTAGTTATTTGTCAACACATATTTTTTTAAATAATAAATTAAATAACAAGTTTTTAAAAACTGTTATGGACATTGTATTTAAAAGAATTGTATCGGTCATATACTTACTCTGTAATTTTTTTTTTAGAACTTGTTCATTGAGAAATATAACAATCCGTCTCTAAGAAGATTTGTAGTAGTGTGCAGAGAGCACATCCACTCTCTATGTACAATAAATAAAAATAAATTAAATATCAAAATAATATAACTAAAACTAAATGCATATCAACACAAAAAAAATCTTAAGTAAAAAAACTTAATTACAGAGATACTTTTATACATACTATATTTACAAAATTCATAGAAAACTTAAAGAAGGTTTCGAATTTTGTTTTTAACTATTGAAACTGTTGGAAAATTTTATATTCCCTCCTTCTACTCTTCCCAATATAAATTGTAGTAGGATTTTTTTACTACGGAAAAGTTTTTAAACTCATTGCTGAACTTATTGACGGAATGCAGCGTGTCTCTTTATTCATCGATTTAATCACTGATTAATCACTCCTTAGCTGTTTCGTAGGCTGTTAGAGGACTTCTGGATGTAACCTCAGTACTGTTATTTCTCAGTTTACTTAATAGTTTATATTCAATTTACCATGTACCTATATCTATGCCTGTTTTGGAATTCAACAATTCAGTACGTAATATTCTTTTTTTCTTTTTTCTGGGAAGTTGTATGTTATTCTTTGTTTTTGGCAAAAACTGACAACAAAAACAACAATTGATTTAATTGCTGTTTTTCTAAATTACATGTTAACGTTTCGGGATATTTATTCTTATCTTCAGAACTACAATCCCAATGGTGTTTTGTTGATTTGTGGCTTAAATCTAATGTGCTCTATTGTCAGGTTCTAAATTAATGTTATATTAATTAATGTTAATATACAGTACATAATATCGAGAGCATCATCATGCTTTTAGACCAATTATTGGGTGTCTGCCATGGTGAATACAATTCATTCACCATTGTAATTGTATCCACCATGGCAGACACCCAATAATTGGTCTAAAAGCTTGGTGATGCTCCGGATTTTATATACTTTAATTTATTGTTACATTAATTTGGAACCTGACAATAGAGCACATTAGATTTAATCCATGAATCAACAAAAAAATATTGGGATTGTAGTTCTGAAGATGGGAGTAAATATCCTAAAACGTTAACATGTAATTTGGAAATACAGCAAATAAATCAATTGTTGTTTAATTGGAAGTCATTATTGCCAAAAACAAAGAGTAAGTACTATTTTTTCATGCTAGTTTTTAGATTTCGTTACTTCCCTGGAGTTAACACTCGTAATCAACCTTCCGAATTTATCATCTTGTTTCTTAACTCATTATAAATCGTTGTCCTTTGGTGCTGGATACAATCAATGAAATTAGTTCTGAATTTAGAAATTTAACCTCTTGTACAATTAAGGATACATTCTGATCAATTCCGAATCGTTTAGGCTTCTTAACTCTCCAGAGCCCCTTATATTTAAATATTTTGCCCAATATTTTACATATATTTTAAAATGTTAAGGTGTTTTTACTTTTAACGATAGCGAAACTTTTGAATTCTTGGTTATAAAAAATATTTGAATAGAAATATTACGGACTTTTTTTGTTCAAACAGTTTTTTAAAATCAATTAAAACTCAATTCCTTTCTGCACAAAATCAGCTTTTTGAGGACCCGGATAAAAAGTATATATAAGGAAGGCGATAGCTCAAAAAAAAAAAAAAAAAAAGAAGAAGAAGAGAAAATGTTGACTTATGATTCCCAAATAAATTATCTTTAATAATGTTTCTTATGAGACATCATTTATTTTCCATTCCTCATCTCCTTTTTCCTCCTTTGTTCTAGTCGCTTTTCCTCAATTCCTGCTCATTTTTATAATTTCAAGTTTGTTCAGGACGACCTCTTTTCCGTTATCATCTTGGGTTTTCTACTGTGGTACTTTCGGTTCATCACTACATGTTTTTTCGTTACTATGCATCCTGTCAATTTTTATTTTCTATTGTTAATCCACAGTATGACGTTGGGAAGGTTGTTCATGCCTCTGCTCCACAAGTGATTTTTCCTGTCTTTATTCGTTAATCTCCCATCATATCTGTAAAATGTCGTTTTTATTTTAGTAAGTACGTGGTCCACTTCTTGCAGCCTTATGCTCTAATACCGGAAGAAGTTATGTTTAGTTCTAAGGAATTTTTTTTTTATTTCTTATGGTTATGGTTGATACTAGATTAGTGAGTTAAAGAGTTGATAATTTTATGTGACCATTACTTGGTTAGACCCACCCTCGACAAAGAAGAGCTGAAGAAGATGGAGCACTCCGGACTATCTATACGAGGAGAGCCATGAGCAGTGCACTTGACTGGGTCATTGAGCTCGTTAGTCGACCGGCCCTCATCTGTTAATTTATTCCAGTACTCCAGCCCCTGTTAGCAGCTCTTCTTCACTTTATTGGCCTCCCATCAGGCCGGTAGCAGGGCGGTCAATTAATATGTCAGTAGTTGTTAAGGGTGTGTATTTAACGGTTGTGAACCTGGCTCTCTGAGATTTATGGACCACTTCTCTGGATAATGGTATCTCTGCCTTTCTTCAATATTTGATAAGTCCTTCCTCTGCCATAACTCTCTCTTTATTCCAACAATGATACAGGTATTTAATTAATTAATATATTTTATATTTATCTCCCATATATTTGACACTCTCATATTTTCTTCCTTTTTTGCTTCAGCCCGAAAGCCTGTAGATCCACCCTTGCCTGCTAGTACTTTTGATTATAAATTACATACTTAGCACGTAAAAAATATGATAAAAATAAAATTATAAAAATGAATAATTATAAATAATATATTTTAATTTAATTTTCCTTTTTAAGTATTTCTGTTTTACAATTTGGTCAGTCCTGTTGTATTTATTTAGTCTTCGAAATTTTTCCAAAAGTGTCCGGTATCAGAAGGACTAATATGAATTCTAATTTAATGTTTTAAAAATATTTTAATAAATTATATTATTGGAATTTTCATTCATTATTTACCTTCAGGGCAGTTGAAGTCTTCAGCCTGTTGAGCATGGAACTCAACAAGTTTAAATAGGAAAAAAAAAATGCGAGCGAATCAAAACTCCTCGAAACTAAGCAGCTTTAGAACTTCCTGTATTGTTACTCTTAATGAAGCTCTTCTTCTTTTTAGTTTATTTAAATGTTGATTTTGCTGATACTTCAATTCGTGTTAATTATTTTTTCTACATTATATTTCTTGCATTGTGGTTACCCCACTTTTTTTACAAAATCCGTTCTATAAGATCAATATATTGAATGAAAATAAATTGTATTCTGGTTCGCATAGGCCACATGCAACAATATAAATATATAATTCATAAGAATTTTTTCTGGCTTCAAATATTAATTGTGAAAAGGGTAAATTATAAAATTAGTAAATGAAAGGCAAGCATAATTACAAAAAAAAAAATAAAATACTGAAATAATATGTTTGTATAATTATACACACATACACACATCAAAAGGTTTTGGTACATTTTTCACATTTACACATTGGTACATTTATTTCACATTTATACATTTATTTTCACATTGGTAAATTTTACATTAGGAACATTTTTCAGTAATAAACGGTGAATATAATAGGAATAAAATATATTTTTTAAGTAAGACGTAAAAAGGTGGAAGAAAAAAATATGTACTTACGTATAATACGTAATTGAATTATTGATAGCAAAGAAACAGATAAATAATTGATGTTTAAATAAAGTTAATTTAGAGGTAAAATTTAATAATAGAGATTTCATATAGGATGATGTTACGATAGGATAGGTTAGGATGGTTAAGTAATTCCTAAACGAGGTAGCACAAATATTATAATATTTTTTGAAGTATTTAATGTCAATTTAATAGGTTTAGGACTCGTGTTTAAGTATTGATAAGTGAAACAGTGGGTGAAAAGATTGTAAGGAGCCTTTTTGATTCCAAAGGATTGGAAAACATAGACATCTTGGAAGCATGTCTTTAAAAAATAAGATAAAGCCACTTTAACTCGACATCATCTGATACCATCTGGTGGCGTGGGAGCGCCTAGGGACTCCGAAGATGAATCTAATAAAACAATTTATTAGTCTCTTCATTCCCATCTCTTACCACTCAGACAGGCCACCGTACACCGGTAAATATGAGCTGGTGGGTTTTATGTGGCATAGAATAACTAAATATTAAGAATAGTTTAAGGATTAATGTTAAATCCAAAAAAGGTTTTGGATATTTTTTGATCATAAATGATTATATTTATATTATTTATGGTTATATTACCCAAGAAAATTTTTTAACCATCCGTTTCCTGTTTCAGAACACCTACCGGAACGCAGAGAAGTTACTCTCTGCAGCGGAAGAACTCGCTCAGACAGGAGAGTGCAACCCGGAGGAGATCTACGGGGTCGCCAAAGAGCTCGAGAACCACGTGACATCGTTCGCGGCCAGAGTCGAGCAGCGGAGGCGGCGTCTCGATTTAGCCGTACTATTCTACACCCACGAGAAGGAGGTGAGTCTAGTTTGGGTCTTTATTTTATTTTATTAAATCAAAACTAAATCAACTATTTTTCAAAAATTATGACTAACCGTAGTTCTTGTAAAAGTATGAAGTCTAAATCTGTTAACTTAATATCGGTATTTTACATGGTATGCTTCTTTTTCGTCTAAATAGTTATTCAATCGATCACATCATTGAGTTAAAATACGGGTTCTTTCGGTGTTTCCTTATTGTACTGTTATTTATAATTTTCTTCCAAGCATACACATAGTCTGATGTCATTAAACGTAGCTAAAGCAGGTAGTGATTCCATTGTAGGCCCTCACATCCTTCACACGCTTCATTAATTCTTAATGAAATCTATTTCGGGTATAAGGTTGATTGGAACTTAAGGAATAGAACTGAATAGAGGTAGCCTATTGAACAGGTGGAAAAGAACCCTTCTTAGAATCTCTGAAGAAACTGTATAATGCTCCTGATATTGTATGCACCACAAAGGGGGAAGTATAAGTTAGTTGGATCATGTGTCAAGAATCGAACATAGCAGGCTCCCTAAAATGATGAAGGAGGGACACCCGGATGGAAGATGGGAAAAAAGGCAGGCCTAGACTTAGTTGACTGGAAGATGTCGAAGACGATCTAAGGAGCCTAGGTGTATTTAGATGGAGAGTGCCATCAGGTGATGATGAGTTGTCACCCACAGCACAGACCGAATTTAGTATTGGTAGTTACCACACATACTGAAGTGATTCCCTTTACATTTGTACACTATATTCTCTATCTATGCAGAAACTGAATTCGGGGACAGAAAGTTCGAACCTCCTCATATCCTATTTATACATTTGTCTGTCATGATTAATTTGGACGTGTAATAAAAGGTCACAAATTGATAAATTATGGATTATCCACCATTAACTGCACCTAGATACAAGAATGCTCTCGACATGCTAGCGTGCAATATCTCCAATCATACAATCATTCTATTCAGGACTGTCCGAGATGGCAATAAATATAAAATACTATTACCAGCAGAGTAAGAATATGAGCTATAACTAGTATCAGTTCAATACAAGAAGTACTGTTATGTTAAGCCTTACACGTATCCCATATTGCTTCATATAGCATTTGTTGGTAGGCAATCTGAATCAATTCCACAGGAAGAAAATGGCTGCACCTGCTGACTAGCTTGAATTTATTAATAAAGAGAAGTATTAAAGTTTTGAAAGAAGTTAGTCATGTTCTACTTACCAAGGATGATAAATTATCAGGACGCAGTCAGTTTATAAGATATTTATTGTTGTCAACGTTCCAAGCTTAAGTACTCACACTACTTGAACACCTTCTGTGCTGATAACAAACCCAAATCATGACCCACAATCTTGGATTATAACTGCGTCCTGATTATTTATCACCCATATTAACTGCCTGCAAGTAAGATTAATTTATATAAGAGCGCTCTATTTATGGTATTGAAATAAATGCGTAATATTTATTAATGGGTGGATTTTATTTGATACCGGGCTGGTTTACTATTTCTTTCCTTCTGATACATTTATCATTAAATGCACGAGAAGGAAAAGGTCATATCTTCATAAATATTTGCTTAAAGGTTAAATTCTGATTTTGCAGTTACAAGTATTGTATATTATAAGCTTCAAAACAAGAACAGTGAGGAGGAACGATAATTATTCATCTTGTAGCAACAGGTTGACTTGTATTAATGATAAATGATTTGTGTTAGATCACTAGTATTGTTTTAACTATCTTAAATCAGTAATAATAACCAATAGTATGCATTATCATAAGTTGTAATTACGTGGGATTCGACTGATGGTATTTGCGATGCGATGATGATTTATTTTAAAGTGTGTCAGGGCTGATAAAGGATGGATTGTGGATTATGCTGATTAAGGATGGGAATCAATACCGACCCCTAAACGAGGTGAAGAGGAGGAGGCGATTAGCTTAGTTAACTTGGAGGGCTTTATCAAACTTTTGCATATTCACGATCATCGGAAATTGAAAAGTGGATCATCCGGAATTACAGAATCCAATTCTTGATTCAAAAATAACTGAATAATGAAATATTTGTGGGAATGATTCTTTTTCTCTTACATTATATCAATCATTTTTAACTCGTGTTCTCTCTCATAGAATCCTGAACATTCAAATATCTGGCAATCATTACATAAGCTTTGTATTGTTGGTTTTAAAATAAATTTATTATTTTCGTTTAAATTTGGTTGAGTTCCTATATTTTTTTAGTCCGTTTAAATTTTTTTTGTACTGATAACGAGTCGTTTATTTTCAGCATATATTATAACTTTAAACATCGTTGAGAATTTTTGAGGAAACGTGATAAAATATATTTTCTATTGCAATGCTAATATCAAAACCAATATTTTATAAAATTCTTCATTTATTATGTACATTTTTAAAAAACATTGATTATTTTATCGGTGATTAAATGACATTGAAGGGGATGGGTAGCTCAGTGAGTTAGGCACTGGGCCGTTAAGCTCTAGGTCCCAGATTCGAACTCGGCTGTAGCAGGCAATTATTTATTGTTTTTTCAGCCATGGATTGAGACCCTCCTAGGGCATACCTAGCCTCTATAAAGTTGATATTATTATCCATATGTGCTTGTTTTAGGTGAAAATTTTATAATGGATATTATTAATTAATAGGGAAAACCTAGCAGTTGAGCGTGGTCCTGGTCCAATCTCCTCCCTTTACAACCGTTGGCATCTAAACAGTACTTCCTAACAAACTACTGAACCCAGTAGCCTGCAAGGATTTGGTCTGGAGAAAAAAAAAAGTATCATCGGGGGGAATAATTTATTAATTGTACTATAAAAATTTAACTTTTCGTTTGCGAAAATAATACCATTAAGTTAATTTATTTTTATTTTTTTTAGGATAAGAAGGTTAAAAAATCTTTTGATGGAATATTTTATTAAAAGTATTATATTTTATTAAAAACATAAAAACAAATACCATTGTATTCCTTGAAGAAAAAAGTCTGGTTTCTGAAATAAACTTTTGCTCTAAAGTTTTTAATATTTAGATTCTTTTTTGAAAAAATATAAGAATTGCACCAACAGATTAATTACGTGTTTTTACATTGGATTTGATACTTATCTCATTTAAAAAAAAAAATCGATTTGGGTTCACTTTGAAAATAAGCCACTCAATTCATAGTTATATCTTCGAACTAATATAACACATGTTGATGCTTATAAGAAATTGATACAGGCAAAACTGAACCTCAGAAGCGTGTTGCATTTTCCCAATTTTTTTATTATTATTGCTAATATGCTTCCCATAAATATACTTAATGTTAATTCATATAATGAATTGGTCAATGAACAATTGACAATATAATACGGCAATATGGACATATAATGGATCATGAGAGGGGGGGAATTAATTTTCAAAATAATTAACCGAATTTTTTCCAACCTAAAGAAGATAATCTTCTTAATATTAATATTAATTTAAAGGTATTTTAATATTAAATAATAATGATACACCTTCCCCAAGGGAAATTCAGATATAGTAGTTTTCTAAAGATTGTTTATTGTTAGCTTCACTTTAAAAAAAGTAATTTTACTTAAAATACATGAAAGTATTCACTTGAGATAGTAAGGTCCTTAGATATATGGTGAGTGGAAGCTATAATGATATAGCTTTCTATCGACTGAAGATTGAATAGGTATGTGGAGAAATGTATGCGGTTTACAATATCTAAAAGAAAGTAAATTGTAGTAGAAATGAAATCAAGATTAACAAAAACAAATGCTTCGTGTTTTTCTCTCGTCAAAATTAATTAATATTCAGAAATATCATAGTTAGGGTTCTCGATGTTTATTTATCTATTTATTTTATGTTTTTTTTATTTGTTAATTGTTAACGTTGGAGGAAAAACATTTTAAGTTTGTTAAATAAATACATATTGTGTAAATATTAGGCCCAAAAAAAATAAATAATCGACTGAGGAATTTAAGTAAATAAATTAGAAAGGGATAGGAGCTTAAATGTGTCGTACAGAATGGAAAACGGTTTCTAGACAGATATTGAATACCTGAACTACAATTAAAAGTTTAGGAAAAATGTGTTAGAGAGGATCAATCTAAATCTTATTCTGCTGCAGATTTATGATTGACGAAACTTAATGTACGTTATGTTTATTCATTTTAAAACAACCTATCTCAATTTTTTTAAGTGAAAACTTCTTTAGGCGCTTTTTGCCCTTTTTTTATGGATAATGAATCAGATTGAGTCGTCAGATCTCCGATGTGTAACGCTCGAGTAAAGTCGGCTTCGGAGTCGACTTACTGGAGTATTTTTGCATTTGGATTCAAATATGTCAAGAACTAAAAATCGCACCTGCATAGCGAGGGAAATGCTCATCATTTCACCTTTTTGTTATGAGCTATTATTCAAAATTGTATATTACGCCGTGTTAGAGAGGCGAAAAGGGGAAAAAATAGTGTTGAAAACCAAATGATAACGGGTTTTATTCAAATATTTCAGAAACTAAAAATCGGATCTGCATTCTGTAAGTGAGGGTAATGTTCTGCATTTCGTCCTTCGTATAATGAATTATTATTTCTATTTCATATTATTAATTTCGCCTTGTTGATGTTTTCGCTTATATAATGTGGCCTAAAGCACTGAGTTTTTTTGCTGTTAATTTATAAAAATTGTATTTTGTTTTTTATTGTTGTATGATATGTACCGTAACAAGCCGGAGATGCTACAGAAGGAAAGACACTTGCAGCTGCTTATAAGGGTCTAAGTTTTTTCTCTAGGGGCTCTAAAAATAGCTGCTTGTTTGGTATAAAGGTGACATCTGCTGAAATGGTTGTTGGGTCGCTGTATGTCTTGTCTCGATTGGGATTTATTAGTACAAGGAAGGATAACTATCTTGTTTTACGACAACGTATCCCTTATTTGACGAAGGAGCTCTCTCGAATTTTCTTATTATTTGTTTGAAACTTCGTTTAAATAGTTTCTATTTTAATGAGGTATGTCTGGTTTAAGCAAGCCTATCTCGTTTAGTTATAAAAGATATTGTATCTATATACAAAAGCTTTTGACAGTCATTATTAATATTTCTTATTTAACCATAATATCTAAACTGGTTATGGATTTGTCTCCAAGCTCAGGAGTGAATTTTTAATGTGGAATAGTTGTAAGATATTAACTAGTTGTTCATGCATGCTTCTTAAGGAAAGTAAATAATATATCTAAACTACATGGTTAAAAAAATATAACATAAACATCGGTAAGTGGTTCATTTACTGCTTGTTTTTAAGTGCATTTTTTTATACAAATTCTTTTTATCACTATTCATAATGTCATATTATTATGCGTATTGTAGGAAATATAATGGAATGTGGTTACCGGTTACTGTTAAAGTACAAAATTAAAACGAATACATCCAATTCAATCTTAAATTAAATTTTAATTGATGCAAATTTATAAAAATATATTATAAATATACTAATAAGCCGTTTTGTAATAAATCCATGGGATTTTACTATTTATACCAAATAGTAATTTAGCATTACCAGAAAGCAATTAAATGTATTTATAGCAAGTATGTTGCAAACATAATTTTAATTTTGCACTCCTTTTTAAGAGAGTGGAGGTAGTTCAGTGAGTAAGGCGTTCATTAGAACTGCTTCCTCAGTAATTTAATTATTTTTTTACTGTATTTTTATGCCGGACGAATGTCACTTATTAGTTTATTATAATGAACAAATGATAATTATGTTTCATTTTTATATTATAATTTCTATTCACGCTCAAGTTCATGCCTTGATTCCAATAGCCATGAATGAATGGAATCAAACCATAAAATAACATTTATGATTTTAACCCCCCCCCCCTCACCTCTACCAGCAACCCTCTTTGTTACCATAATCCTTCTATTTGCATGTCAGACATTGAACCGTATTACATCATATTGACTTTCCCAACATTTATACCATGACAGAATAAAATGTAAGTAACGTATGTTTTTTTAACAAATTTTGTAAAATAATTTATATTTATTTGAAAAGTTATTGTATGTTTTGTATATTTTAGTTAGCTATGACTGGTTTCTACATTGAACCTAAAATATATTGGTATATTGTTTTAACTTGCTGAGGATGGTTCGTGGTACAGACCCCTTTTTATCAATTTATTAACATCCGGCTGAAACTTCGTAAACAGTTTCTTCTCATCATGACCTACAAATATTTTATTTACGAAAATTCTCAGAATTGGGACGTTTTCAATCTATAGGTCGGCGACCTTTTTCTATTTAATTAGGTACAAAAAACCCGTAAATACCCATTTGATTTCCACTTTAAGTATAAGATAACTTGAAAAGGTGGCCTTCAAAAGTATTGAGCCGTTTCGCGTGACCTACGCCCTCAAATTTTTAAAATAACGAGGTTATACAGGCCAAACGGCTCAATATTTTTCAAGGCCACCATTTTTCTCACACTTGTGCTTACGATTTACAATATCTTACAATTAAAGTGGAAAGCAAATAAGTATTTACGAGTTTTTATTACCTAATTAAATCGACGAATTTTGTCGACCTCCAGATTGTAAACGCTCCAATTCCGAGAATTTTCGTAAATAAAATATTTGTATGTTACGATGAGATGAAACTATTTACGTAGTTTTAGGCGGATCTTAATAATTCGATAAAAAGGGGTCTGTACCACGGACTAGGAGGGGGACCCAGATTCCCCGAAACTTACAATAAATAATTATCACAAGTTAATTTAGATTTTTATTATACTGGCATGTGAGGCTTTAACTTAAGAGTAAATAGATAATTATGATGTAAATAAATAATTATCATACGAATAATGATAATTATTATTATTCTTGACTGACTATACTTTTGTTTCCTTGTATATATTGATATATTTATATTTATGTTTAATTATATATATATATTTT